GGAGGTCTTCTTGGCATGGGTGCTTTTTACGATTCTACTGGTAAATATTTTGGTGGTGATGTGGGTGGTATTGCGCCTCCACCAATAACTCCACCTACAATTACTCCTCCACCTCCACCTCCAGCTGGGGATCCGTCCTGGCTGCTACCGCCGGTTGTCGGGGCTGCCCGTGAGCTATTATCGGTAATTGAAAGCAAGCTATAACCGGTTATAGCCAGTCAATTACTCGATCATTTTCTTAATCAATTCTTTAATCAAACATATTAACAAGCGACAATTATTTGCGTCATACAAGATTAGAGTACCATAGCCATGGCGAAAAATGTTCTGGTCACGTGCTATAAACAGCATAATCAAAATATTGATCCTTTTAAATTTTTAAAAAATTTTCAAGATTCTAGCGAAAACTTCTTAGTGACTACTTGATTAAACTCAGCAAAATTTTTTTTATACTCTGTAGAATTAAAATAAAGAAATTTTATCGAAATTGGATAGATGGTTGTTGAGAAATCTTCACTAAAATTTTTAAAAAACATTTGAATATCAAAAAGATCGTAATAAATATTTGAATAAGAAATTGTTTATAATCGCATATTAAGAGGAGAAAAATACAAATTTATATGTGGGTCACGATTCACAAATTTGATCAAAAGATACATCATTTTACAAACTGTGATAATTTATTAAAATTTTGTATTTTTGCAAATCAACAAAAAATTGCTCGGTTGTTGGATAAAAAGCAAAAATAAAAAAACCTCTGAAAGTGATAAGTATACAAAACATGCCTGGCATTTTACTATCTTGCAAGAAAAATACTCTAGCTATCACACCAATTTTGCCATGGTTGATTCTTGATTTTGATTGGCCAACTGCCGTGATCTCAAAATTTTGGCCCGCATTATACAATTGTTACATAATTTTTGGCCGGAATTAAGTTCTTAACTTTTTAAAAAAATGAAAAATAGACCTATATTATAGTAAAATTAGTCCAGGAACATTAGTAAAATCTTTGGTCTAAATTTTTGTCATCGTTCTTTGGCAATCCAAATCAAGAATCTGCTGTAACGCATCAGCTAGAATATTTCTTGCAATAATTCTGTAATTTTGCGTTTCATATCGAACTAAGCAATAATTATGATTTATTAACCAGGAAATAAATAATTTGGCGTAAACTAGTCGGTTAGTTAGGCTGTCTAACCGACTATTATCAACTACAGCTATAGTCAGATGGCTAGCCAACTATAATCTAACTAAATCTATCCTTACCTCCAACTACAACTGCAATCCCAGATGTTGTAGTAATAGATCTACGGGTTTTCCCCATAGTATTAATCAAACTTAATTAATAGAAAAACAAATAAGAATCTAACTGCTTTCATAATTATATATTTATACAATAACCAAAAAATAGCTAGTTAAAAATTGCTAAAAGTATTTACAAAACTTTTGGAAGATTCTATTTATTTATTTTTATTATTTTATTGTTTTAATTTTGATTAACAACTATAAGATTTTGTTTGATGTTTATAGTTTATTGTTTGCTGAATTTGTTTGAGTAATGCTTTTTGTATATCCTGTCAGCATATTTTTCTATTAAACTAAAAAGAAAATTGTTTATCCCAACATTTTTATATTTACTTATATAATAAATTAGGATAGCTATGTAATATAATTGTGCTTAAACCAGGAACATAATATAATTAGATGTTTTTGAAAGTTAATGCATCTTTTTTACCTTTTCAAATTTAAAATAATTGTTAAAAATCATTGTAAAAATCATGTGAAATTACCTACTATTGAGATCCCAATATTGAATCAATATATAATTAAAATTATTTTTCTTTTTCATAGGAATGTAGGTCATATAACAGTTGTTATACATCAAATAGACTCACACAAACTTACGTTATAACAGAAAAAGAAAAATAAATCTATTATTGGATATTCTGCATCCAATAACAGCATATCTGGTTTTGAATTTAATGTGTTTAATAACCTGAGCCCCTTTGGGGCCCAGGTTAGCATATTAAATTCAAAGCCAGATACTTCTTTTATTTATCATCCAAAATAATTATCCCGTGATCCTTCATATCATGGTATTTTCATTTCTTCTGCCAAATAAAACTGTTATTGGATGCTATATATTCAATAACTATTTATTATAAATGAACCTATAATTAAAATCATTAACTTATCTACTATAAAATCATGAGTCTACCTACTGTTGAAATTGTAATTTACTCAATATTGAGATTATTAAATTACTATTGCTAAGATCATGTATCCACTAATTGTTAAAATCATGAATTTTCCTGCTGTTAAAACTATCAACTCATCAACTAATATTCGCTTATTTATTAGAATTGCTTCAATTAATTTAACTAGTTTATTATATTTAAAGCATAGTATAGTTAGTAATTTACAAAAGATTAAATAAACATTTACTTATATTATTATATAGATTAATAAAATAGTATAAATCTTCTTTATACCAAGGGTTATTAATATTTTTCTTACCTAATATGGTAATTTTTCTATCATATGAACATGCATAGTGCATATAAATTGGGTCATAATATTATACATAGTTACACAGCACTTAGTATACATTGTATATAAATTATAATAAGAGGAATAATGCAGGGAATGATGCAAAAAATGATGCAAGGAGTAATCAGACTTTAAAACAAACAAATAAATAAGTACATAATTGCAAAACAATAGAATTTTCTTCGTTTGGGTAAAGTTAACATATAACAAATAGCCTTGAAAAAGTAAGAATATACTTTGATAATAAAAGTCTTTTTATAACTCCTTACATTTGTAAATATGATAACTTTGACAAACGTTCTTGTATTTTGTAATCTATGAACTATCTTTTTTTTTAATATTTCTGCATTTTTTTTTTGTTACATATCTATTTCAAAACTTATGACCTTTTTTACAGTAAGCTTTTGCTTCAGATATTATGCTTTAAATTTTAAATTGAAATTTATCTGTAACTAACTAAAAATTTTTCTTCAGGTTTATGCATTTCTTTTATATATCTTTCTTCAAAGCTTGTAATAAAATCATTCTGATGTTTCATCTTAAGTTTTATGGTTAATGAAGTTTTTTTTTTAAAAAAAAAGATATCTGAAACTTATAAGGATTATATGAATCACAAAATTTCATATTACTCTGAAGACTATATTGATTTTGCTTTATCCTCTAATATGTGGATTATTAATAATTTTCCTGTAACCAGATGTGTTGAAGAAGATGTACCTGAAGATGAATATGCAGATGGGCCCAGTATTTTATCGGTAATTGGAAATGCTAAAGGCAGTATGTTTGAAAGTAATGACTTTGAAAAAGAATCCAATTTCTTGCCTGCAATTGAAAATATCAAAGACAATATATATGAAGACAGTGATTTAGAAAATGAGCTTGAAGAATATGAATGTGATAATTTAGATGATGAGCTTGAGAATAGTTCTCTAAAAGAAATAAATACTGAGCAGACCTTCATGTCTTTTGAGATGCTTGAGCAATATCTGAAACGTTATTCTACCTGAATGGGTTTTGAAACAAAGATAATATGAGCTGAAAAGGAAAATAATATTTTTTCTAGAAAAATGTATAAGTGTTAACATGAGGGTAAATATTTGCCCAAAAAGAAATTAGATTCTACAACTAATAAGAAGCAGGAATCAGCTTGTATAGAGTGTAATTTTTTGTTATAGAAAACAGTTAAATCTTATATTTGTTAACAAGTTTGTTAAGAAGCACTATCACATGTTAAAGGATAGTAAATTGCTTCAGGTTTTACCATCTTTACGAAAAATACCTGCACATATTAAAAAAAGGTTAGATTTTATATTTAAGAATACCATTTAGGGGCAATGGTTTTAAAATGAATATTACGAAATAAGTTCTTAGATTAAAAAATTTATAATAGAGATCTTTATAATATAATAAGTAGGTTTAAGGCTGATAATCAAACTAAAAAGATACTTTAGCTTTATATGAATCTTTAGTAAGGCTACAACAAAAAAATCCAAATTGGTATTTTAAAATTGATTTCGAAGACATTGATAATAGACTTTTCAAAATATTTTGGATGTCACCTAATCAAAAAAGTTTGTGGACCAGATTCTATGACATTGTTATTAATGACAATACATACAAAACAAACAAATACATGATGCTTCTAAGCATATTTATCATAATTGACTCAAATCAGCAAAGCCGAATTGCAGCAATAGCTGTAGTTTGTGATGAGACGGTATCAACTTATGAGTAGATTTTAGAACAAACTATGTTGGCTACTAATAATCTTCAACCAACAACAATATTTACAGATGCAGATCTGGTGATACAAGTGGCTATTTCTAATAAATATCAGGGAACTATTGTTTGGCATTGTATATTTCATATTTGGCAAAATCTGATTAAAAAAGTTAAAAAAAATCTCCATAATAAGTAGGATAGGTTCATTTCAGATTTTTATATGCTTCATAATTTACTTGCAATATTCAACTTTGATCTTTGCTAAGCAGATCTGATGAACAAGTATCCGGAAATTCAAGGGTATTGTAATCAAGCATTGTATCTGACAAAGAATGCTGGTATATGCTTTTACAAAACAGAATTTTTCAGTAAACACTCATTCAATACAACATGTTGAAAATATAAATCGTGTTATAAAATTGGATGCCAACTCTGAAAACTCTTTATACCAACTTCACACAGAAATTAAATTGTGACTCAAGGATGAAGCTAAATATGCAAGATTACAAGAGCTCCAAAATATGAATCCTACGATAGATCTCCTTCATTTTTCTAATACGATTTTTAAGAATATTGATAAGATGTGCAAGAAGTATCTTACACCTAATTCATTAGCTTTGCAGTGGAGACAGATATTAGAAAGTCTTTTGTATAGAGTTTTATTATATACTAATAAACTTAATATTACTATAAGTCAGGAAAATTACTTTTCTTTTTTTTATATTCTATTCAAATGATGTATAGAAAAAAGTTATAAGCACAAATTTAAATTTTTACTAAACTTAGAAATTTGAGATTAGTGAAAATTCGAATTCGTGATTACAGGTTTTGTCTATGCATCACTTATTTATTTAATCATATTGTAAGTAAAGATTGTATTATATATATCATTTGTTTAGAAGTTGCATTGTCATAATATAGAATTTATAAAAAATAATTGTAAAAAACTGCAAATTTTATTAAACATGGTCTTGGATGATTGTTGTAGAATCGATATAAATAAAATTTGGGAAGTTAAACATGTCCAAAGCACAATGAATCATTCACAATTTGTTTTATTACTTGAAGATAGTATGCACTATTGCACGTGCTTATATTTAATATATGCTGAATTCGTTTGCTAACATTTTTTTGCTATCATGATTTATTCAAAAAATGCACATTTTAATATAAAATTAATTCTTTCATGTTGATATTCTGAAGAAAGTCTTAAAATATTTGACAAAAGTCAAAAATCATCTGTTCTACAAAATAAGAATTACCTAATTCCAACTAGTACATTTCAAGTATTAGAAAGGATTTATAAACAAGAGATTGATATTAGAAATCTTACAGGATTAGATTCAAATAAGGTGTTATATGGCTGTGGTCTTGGGCTCTATAAAAAAGCTCTAAATATAGCAATTATAAATAGTTCTAAGAATGTTTTAGAAAGTATTTTATAATGATTTATTGATGAGCAAATTTTGGTACAAAATAAGAATGCATCTAAGCAGGAGTTAAATTAAGAAAATAATAGTTTTAGTATTTCAAATTCATGTTAGCACAAAGGTAAGGGCCATCCTGCAAACAAAAGATACTTATCAACGATTAAGAATCACAATAGCAAAAATGTTGGTTCAAATCACAAAGACGAATTATTGGAATCAGGATTAAAAAAGAAAAACAAATGTCAGTATGCTATATATAAGTCATGGTACTATAATTCTTTAAATTGTCCTGAGAAAATAGCTGATTAATTAAGTATAGTGAGTGAAGCTTTTAGATTGCAACTTACAATTGTGCTGTTCGATATGATTTTGTGATTATAAATTTTATAGCATCTTTGTGTTGTTATTTGTATCTATGTTTGTATAAGCTTTCCATGTCAAGACATATATGATATTGATTTGCACTTATAGAATTTACAAATGCTGTTAATCTGATTGCATGTTGCTTATCTTGATATATATATAATATAATTTAAAAAGATTTAATTATATTAATTTTGTGTTTAAAGGTCATATATATCTATATATTTAAGTTAAGCTAAAATTTAATTTAAATATAAATCTGATCTAACTATACTAGAAATTTAAATTTTTTTTTTGAGTTAGAATAAGGATAAATGGGTAAGTATGAGAGAATTTTTTTTAAAAAATTTTTATAACATGCATGCGTTTCTTAATTAACATAAGAAATAAACCCTGTTATAGGAACTAGACATATATAGCAATAGCTACGTATTAAATCAATAGTCTGGCATCTTTTAAAGTTAAGTAGCAACAAAATTTTTATTTAATCATACATATCCCTATCATTATACTGTATAAATTAACTAAAATTTGCTTGCTATTATATTTTTTTTCTGTGCTGTGTAATCTTTACTAGCATCACCAAAAATTGTCGATATCATGTGATGTTTGATTTAAATAAGATTTTCTCAATATTGGCAACAAAATTTTCTCAATCATGTAATGCTGTCACAATTCTTTAGAGTTCATTTATATTAGGTTTTGGTTATAGTTAGAGTTTGAAAATGAACATTTTTTTGGATCTTCCTGTTCTTTTTACATTATACCAAGATGTGATTCATTATTAGATGATTTGTACATAATTGAGAAAATTTTAGTATTTTGTTAATGATTCTGAAATAGTTTTTAAATGAATTAGCTTCTATAATAAGATATTGGCAATAAATTAAGAATCATTCAATAAGTTCAAATATATTAGAAAAGATGTCATACTTAAAATTAGGGTTTGAGTTGCAAAAAATGCCAAATAGTTATTTGGTTTAAATTTAAATTGTGCTATATTGTTATTTATTATACTTAGTTTGTTATATATATATATAATATATTGATTTTGTTATAATAAAATTGTTTACTATCATATGATATTTCTTGAAATTTGATTGGTTAGTTTAGGTAGAATATTAGTATCCCCTGGTAATGATTATAAATTTCTAATAAAATAATAATATTATAAAATAAATTAATGCAAATAGAAAAATATTAAATAAAGGTGTTTAGCTTAAACACATTTATCATTATGTCTACAGACAAAATAAATGCAAATAAGATAATGAATAGATAATAAAAACTATTATAATATTTTAATTAAAGATGATTATTATATATTAAATTTATGAGAATAAGAAAAATTAAATAGAGATTTTAATTAAATAAATAATATTGTATTTACAAACTAAATTAACTATGATAAAAAAAGTTAATGAAAGATGAGTAACTTAAATATATAATCAACTTTATATATGATTGGTACTACTATTACTACAAATAGTGATCAGATAAAAATATATTAAAAATTGGTTAATAGTATGATATTTCAATTGCTCAATTAGATGAATTTATTAAAAAATACTTAAAAATTATATAGGAATCTATTTACTATTATTACAAGCTCTATCTTTAACAACAATATTATTTTTTAAAACCAATATTACTGGGACTAACTTTGCTAAAACTGCCAAATTAGCAACTTTAGAACTACTTTAAAATAGCTATAAAGTAACTATAAAGTAACTATATAGTTACTTTATAGTTGCTATAGTTTTATATTTACTTTAAAGTAGCAATACACCTACTACTACTTGCTACTATTTTACTACAATGTTACTATACTTTTACTACATTTTTTTTTAAAAAAAAAGCTTTGAAACTTTTTTTTTAAAAAAAGTTTTATAAAATTGTAGTAAAAGTATAGTAATATTGTAGCAAGTAGTAGTAGGCATATTGCTACTCTAAAGTAAATGTAAAACTATAGCGACTATAAAGTAACTATATAGTTACTTTATAGTTATTTTATAGCTATTTTAAAGTAGTTTTAAAGTTGCTAATTTGGCAGTTTCAGCAAAGAAACTTATAATTCAATTTAAATTTTAAACTTTAAGTATAGAGAAACTATCAAAGAGATTTTTATATAGTTGTAAAAAGAATTGGTTTTATAAAATATAAATATAGCTTATTAGCTATAAAACCTATAATCTATTTAACAAAGTTTTTTGTACAACTATTAGACATAAAATCTAAAACTAATTTTCTTTTATTTCTAATGTATTTGCAAAGCCTAGCTAGCAGGCTCTTGTACTTCTACTATATCCACAAAATCTAACTAGTAAGGTTTTTGTATTTTTATTATATTTGCAAAGTCTAACTGATAAATCCTTATACTGCTACTGCAGCCCCAAAGCTAATTGCTACATAAACAAAACAAGGTTTTTGTAATTGTAAATTTTGTCTAATAAACTAACTACCAAGTATTAAGTTTATTGCTAAGTTACTGCAAAATAAATAAAATAAAAAGGTAATAGAGTTATCTTCTCATAAAGTGAATGATAGCAAAGTGAATAATACTTCTCTCTATAAAATTAAATATATTGTATTTATAAATATACCCTTTTCCTTTATCCTATTAATTTTATATTGAACTAATATAATAATATCCTCTTACTATTAGTACTGGTACAAAAAAAATTACAAACAAACAGATTATATATATATGTTATTAATACTGATATTATCTCTATACTAGAATATAGAATTCACAATATAGTACTTTCATATACTATATGCAATAATATTTTATCTAAATACCTTACTATAGCTAAACACAAATCTCATCTTGCAAAATCAATTACAAACAGTACTATGCTCAATTCATATCTATACAATATTCAAAATATTTGAAATATTCAATTACAATATCATATAACCAATTTCCTTTAATGTATCAACAATTCTACCTACTACTTATATTAGATTACAGCAACCACAAAATAATTTGTAGTCAACTATTAATATACTTCAACATTTACAATCTATAATAGACAGTCTAAACAGACTTACACTTAACTTTAAAATTATTCATCTTATATATCTCAAAATATCTGTAATAGTAAACTCTAATATTATATGATCTAGTACAATCTAATACAACTTTTAACTATTAGAAAAATACTTATTATGAACTTCAAATTAGTGTTCCTATGGACTGAACTGAACTGAACTTTTGGCCAAGTTCAAGTTTAGTTCAAAATTGAACTGAACTTGAACTTGAACTTTTCTTAAAAAAAGTTCAGTTTAGGTTCAATATTAAACTTTTAAGTCAAATTTAGGTTCAGTTCAGGTTCCGTTCAAAAGTTTATGAACATGTTCAAGTTCAATGAATTATATATATACAGTATATGTATATATAATATATTATCAAAAATAATTTACTTCCAATAATAAGTTATTTTCTTTTTTTAGAAGAAAACAAAAATTTTTTAGATT